GTTATTTTCAATTTCTATCCTGTTCAAACGTAAATATTTGGAGCAACAAAGTGTACTTTTAGTGAAAAAATGAAAGTCATTTATTTTTGAGATTTTAATCATGTATAATATACTTTTTGCCAATAATGGTCGATGTTTTAGTTTAGAAAAACTGATTCCATCCCTTGAAAAGTTTGGAAAAAAAGGCCAAATTTCTCTCATCTTAGAGAAAAGTATCTTGTTCGAGAGAAAATACAAAAGTCTAAGGAATAACTCATGCAGATTGTGAAAATAAAGTTCTTCTTCTGTCGTTCTATATGAAAAATTTTATTCTAATAATTTTCCTGCTTGAAAAAGTATTCATGCTCTCTCAACCAAGACTTTTCGGAAAAGACGTGTTCAATGCGCACACTTTAGCACAACTTCAAACTCGATGCAACTTTCATTAAATTTTTCTCTTTGTTTGACACATCCACTCAGTTGATGTCAAGATGCATAAATGTTTCTGGACTGCGACATAGATTTTCTTTAAAAAAAATCTTGATTTTCAAAGGTTTTTCGTGTTCTTTTGTCTAAAAATTAGTTAAAAAGAACAATAAGAACATATTTGGAATCAACACGAAATATTTCGTCGAATGATGTGTTATTTGTTCTTTTTTTTAATAAAGATTTTTCGAATAAAATATTAGTATAAAGATCTCGTGATACATTTTATGTCGCAAAATGTTCTTTAACGAATTTCAATTTTTTTTGTTTAGTACTTGAATTTAATATTTCTATGAAAAAAAATGAATTTTTTTGACCGAAAATAAGCCATGTCAACATGCTCTATAAATATTGGGCGCTATACCATGTTAAGATTATACAAAATGCGAAATTGGGAGATATTTTCTAATTTAAAATGATGATAATATTGTAAATATAATGAAGTAAATAATTTTATTTTTATTATACGTATCTGATCATAAGTAGAAAATAAAGAATAGAAAAAGAAAATATATCTGACAATTAATCAAGAAATCTATTTAATAAACATTTGAATACTTTCATAAATTGATCAAATTTCTCCTGATAATATTGTATTGAAATCTAAAATAATTAATTTAATAAAAAATATAAAAAATAAATAAATAACGAACCACTTTTAGCTAATGTTTCATTTTGTTTGCTTGTTTGTGATTGTTGAACAAAACGAACAAATATATCAATAAATGGTTTAAGAGATGTTTAATTATAATCTAATATTAAAAAAAAAACCTTTTTGTTTATTAGAAATTTTCTCATTTAATCCATCTTCATTTTGTTGATTTTGTTTTGGTAATTGTTCAACTTGTTGACATAATTCATTTAATTTTGGAACTGAACCTTCTTTACATGGATCAAAATATCCTAATGAATCTAAATCAATTGGTATTGATACACGACCAGTTTTTGGATGAATACTAAATGGAGATTTAAGTAAATGATTCATTCCTTTTGTTACATTTGCATCAAGACGTGGATAACTATATTCAAACATTATTTCATCAATTAATGTTGTATAACCTGCTTTACGATATTATATTACAAAAAGAATTTTTTTTATTTTATTAAATTATTAAAAATATGAGAAAAAAAAGAAGAAAATATTTTTGTAGTCGATGTTACGGAATTAATCATTGTATCAGTATGCAGTTTAAAAGCAGCCCATCGTTCTGCTGATGTTGTTAATTGAGAAAATATTTCTCTTAATGTATGACGGCGTAAACATTTTAGTTAAGGAAATTAAGTTTTGTTTTCTCATCAAATTTTTAGATGATTGAATTAAATATTTTATATGAAGAAAAAAAATACTCTAATATCTTGCGGATGATGAGTTGGCATTATCTATACAACTATATCTTCATTAGATTAGAACAATGAAAAAAAGTTCTTTGTGTTTAAATATGAATCAAGAAGGTGTGGGTGTGGGTTTGGGTATAAATGAAGCCTACACCTACCCTAATTTTAGATGTTGTCCCTTCAAGTTAAGCGTTTCATGAAGTCAAAACTGGTTTCTCATTAACCTTTGGATTAGGAGAGAACTCGGTACGATCTTCAAAATTGCTAGCGGAATCTTTCTTCTTTTGCCGGACAGAAAACGTGAAAAAATTGTTTTCCTCTAAAAATTACGTTTTTGCTTGAACTTTATTATAGTGTTGTTATTATGAACAAAAACTAACTGATCCGTCGTTATTAGGGAAGCAACTCCTAATAACAACGGATGCAGTCATTTATCATAGACAGCAGATATCTCCGCCGCTGTACGATGGAGAAAGACCGTGGTAACACCATTCTGAAAGATCAACATCCAAGGATAATGCATGTATAAAAATATTTTCAGTCGAGTGTAAAATGACTGTGCACGAAGACAATTAAGACAAGTGTATTTTTTCGCGTCGTTATTAGAATAACCGGCTATGGAGTAGTTCTGGACAAAGGATACAAAATCGTATGTTTTTCAAACTAAATGGGGATTAGTTTAGTGCTGGTAAAGCAAGATGTTTTTGAGATCATGTTTCTCACGTTTTCTTCTCTAAGTATTTATCTTGTTTCAATTAGAAGAAGTTCTATTTGATTCCAGACTTTTCCAGTCTTATTGTCTTTTAGAAATAATTAAGTATAAGAAACAGAATTACTTTCTATGCGTTTCAAATATTTTGGTGAATCTTTTCATTGAGAAACTCGTTTTTAATCCCTCTCGATGATTGGAAAATAAGAAATTTCGTCAATATTCCGTTTTATCTAGTAGTTATCTATCTTTTCACGTTGTACTAGTATGTTTTTCAGATCACAACATATTTCCCGCTGATTAACTAACTTATCGCGCGATTCCATTTCTACTAACTAGTCAGGAAGACGAGCGATGCCTTGTTCGATGAGAAAATTTACAGAATATTTCAAACGCATATACAGAGACAGGCTATACGCAAAGTTCCATGGAGACGAAAAGGACAACAAACTTTTTTGCTTTTCATAATGTAATTTGTTTCATTTCAAAAACTGCAATTCTGCCCACCCATGATTTTTAACTTGAAATATTATCATAAAAATTTCCATAGTATACCTTTTATGAAAGAGCTTTACACTAATGTCGTATATTTTGAAAAAGTCGACCACAGAATTTGACATCAAACTGTCAGTCTAACTGAGTACTTTCATCCCATAGATGGTTTCAGATTTCAACGTAACAGTCATTGATAATTTGCGTATATAGGCATCATAATTTTTATCATAAAAAATCAGTTTACAATTCATGTTGACGATTCCTTTTTTTCTATAAAACACACTATTTGACGCAGGAAGGAAATAAATCGCACTATTCTAATGAGAAGTAGAAAAAAAAAACTAGAAATGCATGTTACCTTCAACTGATTATCGACTGCTTCTGTTGCGTTTTGTCCACGAAAATTTCTCCTTCTGAAGCAATTTTTCTCCATACCAATTTATTTATTCTCTGTTGTTTTTTCTAATATATATATAGCAGAGTACAAATATTTACAATGAATCATATTCTCTTCAAATTTTTCACAAAAATGACTCGAAGGTGCTTTTTTTTGCAGCAGCTACCGGGCTTATTCCTTCAGGATTTATTGACACTTATAAATAAGTTCCTAAGCATATTGATATAGATCCCATATGATTCATTAGTAAATGAATGATGTGGGTGAGAGCATATATGTGGGTATGAATAGGAGTGTAGAGATATTGGTGTTGGTGTGGGTGTAAGCATGCTAAAATGTCATCATAATCAATAAATCCTCAATAAATAAATAAGTCTCATAGAAAAAATAAGTCCCGGTAGGACCTCGTTTGTCTAACTGTGCTTTTATTCTTGAAGTGCATTGTTAAAGGAAAGAATATTATCAGGATCTCTAAAGTTTTATTTTAGATTTGAAAGTGTCATGATAGTGGTAATTGATAGGAAAACTACAATGTTAAGAGTTAGAGATCAAATATGATGCGTAGTGAAGATAAAAAAATGTTAGTTATTTTGATTTTCAAGAAATAATGAACCGATATTGGCATCATTGAAATGAGGACCATGTATGTTACCAGGTGAAAGTGTATGCGAGAAGCTGGTCACTGAGACCTGTTGGCCTAACCGAGTATTAGTGTCGTATTTTTGAAGCCACGGACCACCGGATGCACCTCCACCCATACCACATTTGATCGTTATACCAACATATGAGGACATCAGAAAAATTGATGCTTTCTTTGACGTAGTAATACAATTGCTCAGTGTCTCACCGTTATTCATATTCATTGGAAAACCGAACGCATGTATTCCTGCTTGTACCGGTGCATTGAGAGAAATACCAAAGGCACCTACTACATCTTGAACATGTTCATTCTGTTCGTTAACATCCACTGTAACAATTGCAACATCAAAACTCATATCGGCTTTGTCTAAATATTGCTTTTTCACTGCCAAATAGCGTGCAACAAAAGTACCTACGGGACGATCACCGGAGTGGTAATGAGGAACGAACATCCATTTGTCTGCATATGCTTTATTGGTAGTATTAACAACACAATGACCGGCTGTAACGATTGTATCGCGATTTTTAGCGTTGACTACTGAACCGGAACACACGTAGGTCTTATCACCAAACATAAAGAAAGCTCTGCCAGCTGCTGTCGGTCGGTAGGCGCGAATACCATTCGTAGAGGCACTCGGCGTTAAAACTCTTTCGACTCCACTTTGTTGATTATTATTAGATACAGGCATAGGATGCATTCCAGTAATGGTTAGCTCGGCTGGTATCGCTGAAGCCATTCGCTCTGGAGTCCAAAAGTCGATGACCGATCTTGTGTACTGTTGACGTGTGTAGCCGCGAAGAAGAGCTACATCGATGCCGACATTTGTTGGATCAGAACGAATTGTAGCACTGATACTGCAGCTAACTAAGCCAAGGATGAGCCAGGATACAACAAAGACAGATGATAGCATTGCCTTTGGTTTGTTGTACAGTGTTGAATGTTTCATCAGCTTGTATTGAAGAGTATTTATAGCCGGCTTCGCAAAATATTTTTCGAGATTTCAAGACATTAACGATTATTGATAACGATATAATAAAATATTCGAATACAACCATAAACAAAAGCAAACTGCTTATATCTTGACAGAACTCTTGCAGTAGTTTTAATTGATGAGTTTGCTATCTTGAAGATTTACGAGTAAACTCGACTTTGATCAAACATGAGAACATCGAAGTTATAATGCCCTTAGTAGAGAAATATCCACAGTACAAAATGTGAGTGCGGATGGAGATGTGAACGACTCTGGATCATTAGAAAGGATTCCATGACAGATGCTCCCGAGAGAGTTGCTCCAGAATAGGTGTGTGACAACTCCTCTCAGCTCATTGAGCTGGTTCTAATCGTCCAGCTCTTTTGAGATGAGCGGAGCTGGTGACTCGCTCTTTTGGGATGAGTGAAGCTGGAGACCCGCTCTCTTATCATGAACAAGAACTAATCATCGACTATTTTAGTCATTTAGAAATCAGTCAATTAAATATTTGAAAAAATAAGTCATATATATATTATCTTAGTAAAAATTAATCTACGCGTGAAGTAAATTTGTTCGAAGTCGAAATTCGATAGGCTCCAAACATAGCAGTAAACATGTCATTTTGCATCCACGATATTTTTTCGGGTTTGTTTCATGTTAAGACTCTTACCTGTGTGCCATACCACATACTGAAGGAAACATCGGGAAATGTCTGATGATTAGTGTTCGTAAAAAAGCTCGTTCAGTTTTCAGCCGCGTAATCCGGGTCTGCAGGCTAAAGAACCGTTGTTATGATCAATACTACTGTTTATTACTTAAAAAACAGTTTTTGAACATACACCTTCTAACAAAAAGCAACCGATCCTTAATTTTTTCATGACCCTGATGGAGAATGTCGAGGAAGGGCTCAAAAATTGTCAAAAATGGGCACCCGAAAAGGTGGTGTCAAAATTGAAAACGCTAGAAAGCAAAAGTTCCTAGTAAATTTTTGTAAGAAACATGTCGTAATAAAAGTTTAACGTTAGAGGGTGTGGGTGTGGGTATTTTCAAAAAGTAATAGACCCATACCCCACACCCACACCCTCTCCAGACCACATCATCCGTTTGAGCTGAAATTCTTAGTTTCTGTCTAAGTCTGTTAGACCTATGTACTGTAAAAATATCAATCAAATCCGTAAGATGGGTTGAGCAACGTTGGTCGTGGCTTACGTGCAATACCTCATAGAAGTCTTTTTGGTTCCAAGTTTAGATATTTTTTTCTCAAGTCGTTTTCAGTTCTAGCCAGTAAGATAAGAACTGGAAAATGTTTCAAACATTTTGATTAATCTTTGCTTCAGTTTTAATACGAATACCTGCGACTGAGAATCGTTCATGAAGCAACGGAAAAGTTCTTTTCTATAACATCTTCTTCTTTTACAGAGGAGAAACCCTTACAATCTTATGGAACGAAAAAATTATTAAAATGAGAAACGCACCAAGTAGTGTTCTCGGAAATGATAGACAGAGAGCATTGGTACTAAACCCCTCCCCGTAATAGAAGCCCCTCCCATATTAGAAGCCCTCCCCCTATTAGAAGCCCCCTTTAAAGGATTTATCCAGCAAAATTTTCAATTTTTCCCAGCAAAATCCGGCCAAAGTTTGCAAGGCCTAATAGAAGCCCCTGGGGTCTTCTAATATGGGAGGGGGTTTAAGTATCCAGTGTCTGGTTTCTACGACATCTGCTCCCCAGTGACAACTACTCCTCCGACACTCGCTTTCGCGGCACCGGTGTGGGTGTGAGCGGGCAAAGAAGTGATAGACATTTACAGGCACCGCGCCTCTCATACTCACATCCGTAGTTGCACCCACACTCACATCCGCGCAAAATCAAACTTGCACCAACATTCACATT